AGTGTATGCAACTCAACAAAATGGAGTTGAACAAAAGAAGAGTTACATACTTGCTACCACAAGGACTTTCTTTCTCCAGACAATGACTCAAAATAATATTGGTGCAAGCAATTTTAATGTCACCCACAACATCACAAACAAATTAGCTACAAAGGTTATTGGGTTTAATAGTCCTTCACAAGTTCTAAATAAATTATATCTCCATTTTACCAACTCAAACGATCCTATTGCCAAAATATTAAAAGTGCTGTTTTTGTTTACACATTTGCAAAATAAAGGAAAATTTGATCCTCAAGCACATAAATATGTATTCATTGGCTATTCTCCCATAAGAAAAGAATATGAATGCTACCATTCCCTACGAGAGTGTATATGTGTCCGTTGATACCATTTGCAATGAAAATATCACAACTTTTTTACTACTAATCCTAAGGAAGAAATATCATTCAGATATGAATTTTTTTCTTGATCTCCCTTCCTTACCCATCATTCCTGCAAACAACTATATTCTAGAACCAGCCACTCCTACTTAAACCAACTAACCAAGCCTATACCAGAACCACTTTTTACTCTGCCATTATAGGTTTACTCAAGAAGAAAAGCATCCAAAGTTGTTCAAATCCAATAAATCGAATCAATACCTATCATTGAATCCATGAAGAGAAAAATTGAGCTTAAAATAAAGGTACAAAAATTTTCACCAAATATCTCTTACAATTACTTTTACCACATAAAAATCTTTCTCACATTCATCATTCTTTTTTACTAACATGCATATTATTTCTATCCCTAAAAAGGTCTGAGGCGTTAAATAAAGTGAATTAGAATAATGCTATTAGAGAAGCAATAAAAACTAGTAAATTTATCAATAAGAAATCAATAAGTGTTATGTAGATGAATCTTTATTATAAAATAGAAAAAAGGACCAAAATGATCTCTTGATTCTTTATGAAAGACCAAAACAATCTTTAACAATATTAAAGAAAATTTTTGGTCCCTCAACTCCTTAAAGAAGAACCAAAATAGTATCACCATGAGACTATTTTGATTCATTTTTAAAGACTTGAGAGATCAAAATAGTCATTTAATATAGTTCGAGATCATTTTGATCATTTTCTCTTATAAAATATAAATATGATGATTAACTAAAAGTATAAAGTCAAACTAATGGCCAAAGGCTAAACTCAAATATATGGAATAGATTATCTTGAAACATTTGCTCCAGTTGCTAAAAGAAATAATATTTATAGCTCTCTTCTCTTTAGTAGTTAACAAGGACTCAAAGATACAACAATTCAATATGAAGAATGCTTTGTTACGTGGTGACCCAAAGGAGAAAGTATAAACGGATGTTCCACCGGAGTTTATCTCAAATACAAATCAAAATGTATGTAAGCTAAAAAAGGTATTGTATGGGTCAAGGCATTCTACAAGGGCATGATTTGAAAGGTTCACCAAGGTAATACTCAATATGGAATACAAATGAAGTTAAGGATATTATATATTATTAGTGAAATACACAGCTTTAAGCGGAGTCTCCTCGCTATAAGTTTATATTAATGATAGTAAAATGATAGATAGTGAGCAGAAAGAAATTTATAATTAATATAAAAGATCACTATAAGTATTTGAAGTGAAAGAATTAGAAATCTGATTGTGTCGATCAATCGTGTAACAATGCTGTCTCGGACCTCAATTCCATCGGTCGAGCTTGCAGTGGGTTGAAGGGAGTCCTCCCCTGCTTGGCTGAAATTTTATGTACAACCGCACAACACTGCGACGTTGTATACCCGAGCACTGCGGCGCTGTATAGTTTTCTTAAAGACAGAAAGAGAGCAAAGTGCTGCGGTGCTCCAGACCCTAGCGTTGCGGCGCTATCAGGAAAACTTGAAATAGAGAGTTGATCGTTGAGGGACTGTGAGGCAGGATGAACAGTTTTTTTCCTCATTTTTCATAAAGGGTTGCATCCCTTGGTGGTTTCAATGTTTTTTTCTCTTTGTTATTTCTTGAATGAGAACAAGCAAGATTGAAGAGAGAGAAGGAGAGAGTGAGAAAAAAAAAAGATGTACAAATTTCTCCCAACTTTCATAATGAATTTCTTAGTGTGGTGTGGCTCCAAGATGTTTTCCTGGTTTTGAGTTTTTTTTAACGTTAAATATTGATGTTCTTTCTTTTCATTGTATTTTCTATTTCATGTTTTTTTTCGCTTTTTTGGTTTTACTTCCCTAATAAATACATCATTATCATTGAAGTTGCACACTTTGAATATGAAATCTTTATATCACAACAAAAATTCATAACAAACATGTTGAAACACATAATTAAGTTGAAATGCAAGCCCATTAAGAGGGCCATTGAATTTATTCATAAACTTGTAGATGCTCTAGACGAAGCAACAATAGAAAAATTTTCTACTAGAGACTAGTGGAAAGACATATCTATTTATCACAAACTTGATCTAATATTGCCTATAACGTTGATGTATGTGGTGAGTTAATTCAAGAACAATTCCAAAGAACCGCATTAGAAAAGTATACAAAATTCTATAATATTTGAATGATACTTAGGAAAAAGGAATTCTTTTAAAAAAAGAAAGAGGATTTAACTCTTTAAGCATACAAAATGTATATTATGAAAGTTTTATGGTTCACATGACTTCAACTTTAGAATATTGCACATCCTTAGAAGGAAATATCATGACTTTGAGAAGTAAAAAATAATATATAGTAGCAAGATCTAGCGAATAAGCCAAATTTAAATCTAAGGTTTTGGGAATCTAAGATTCGTTATTGCTTATCCTAAAAGATTTAAAGGTTGAATAAAAAAAAAAATCTTATGATGATTTATTATGATAACATGTTAGCCATTAATAGTCCACATAATCCCGTGCAACATAATCATACTTAATATAATATGTGGTAGCAAGATATAGTGTAGAAGCCGAATTTAAATATATGGCATTGAGAATCTACAAATTGTTATGGCTTATCCTACAAGATTTAAATGTTGAATGAAAAAGTCATATGAGGCTCTTTTGTGCTAACAAATCAGCCGTCAATATTGAACGTATCTTGAGCAGCATGATTGTACTAAGTACAATAGTACATTGAAGTTCATCGACACTAAATAAAGATAGAAGTTGATAGTGGTCAAATCTATACTCAATTTGAAATCACAAATGATAGCTCGCTAACATTCTCATAAAAAGATTATTAGGGCTTGCGTATCAAAATTTATGAGGCAAGCTTAAAATATATGACATCCATTCATTCGCTTAGGGGGAGTGTGAAATATTTGCATAATTTATACCAGCTATGACCAACATTCCCCAAGACTATCACCCACTTTCATCTTCTTCCAATACTACCTCATTGATATGTGAGATCCTTGTTGTATACTCATCAATATGTAAACAATTATAATTATTCTCATTTATTATTCTATCAACTAATCAATCTGTGAACTATTATAATTATTCTCTATTTATTATTTCCTTATTTTATTGTATAAATACTACAGAAATGTTGAACTCAAATAGTCAATCAATTCTTTCAATGCTTGTGAAAAAATAAAATAAAGGTAATTTCTTGACAAAATTGGGCTTGGAATGGATTATTTGAGGGACAAAAGAAGATTTTATAGTGCAATTCAAATGGAATAATCCATTTTATTCCGCTTTAATAAGATTATATTTGTGGAAAATAGTCTCAAGATATAACTTTTAAACCTAAATTTGTATGCATCCAAAATCACAATGATGGAGTATCTCATGAGTACTATAACATAAGAGAATATCATAGAGCCATGCATTTGGTACCCCATCATGAACTAAAGATTGATCCTACCAAACAACAATTAGGTCTACTCTACTCTAAGGATTTAATTATTGGGCAAGGGAAATCAGTCACTAACACCCAAGTTAAGCACACAAAATTGAGAATGTTGAGATAGATTTATGATAAAACTAAATACTATGAAGTGAGAACTGATTATTAGAGAAAGCATAAAAAATACTTGTTGAAGAAACAATAATTGAAATACACTTTTATGATTTGAGAACGCATTTCACAACAAAAGATGCACTAGTAAAGTGGATGTGAGCAACAAGTACTCAATAGACAATGTATAAAAAAAAGTTCACGATTTTGGGTTTACACATCCGATAATACTCAATATGAATAAATGGTAGAAGATAAACTATAATTACTACCCCAAATAGTTAAAATAAGGAGAATGGAATGATAAATAGGGAAGGAAGGGGCCAAGAACTTTCTAGTAGATGTAGGGTCTAATAATGTGCAAGCAAATAAAAAAGTCTTCATACAATGATCATAAAGTTCCTTGATTTATTTCACTCGTGCATCAATATTCTCAATCATACCCTTCTCAATTTAATGTAGATTTTTACATAGATTTGATGCTTGCAAACGGCTGCTGTTCCTCATGTAAGCAAATGAGCAGAACACAAACAGCGCAGCTTCTATCATATACTTAATAAACAGACCAGAACAAGGCTTGAGCTCAGCCAAATTCAGCCCATTTACACCCGTAGTTCCTGCTTAAGAAGAAAAAATTCTGGAAAATAAAAAAAGGCATGCTTAGTAAGACTCGTTATGCACGACTGGTTGATTTTCCAGAGAAAATGGACCAGATTCCGCAATGTCTGCCACTGTATTGCCTATTGATTTCAGGATTAAGTCCACAGTGCAATGCTGAAGAATCTACTAAAAAGAACGACCTTATACAGCGCATTCAAAACAAAGAAGTAAACCTATCCATTCATCTAAACAGCCCATGCTGGCTGAAATATAAAAAAAAAATACAAAATATAAGAAAATGGAGAATTGAAAGCTACAAACCCATTTCTAAGAACATGGTTAATCGTCAAAGTAAACTTTTACATAAGAACATTTCAGTTTTCTCAAGAATTCGACGGGACCATGTTCATAAGCCACCGCTGATAAAATCTGAAGAAATTGCGGTAAAATTGTGGAGCTTACCACGACGAATGGATTGAAGGAGATAACGACGCCATGACCAGTTGCCACCTCCCCAGCTGTCGAGAACCCCTCCCGCCGCGTTCGAAGTGTCGGCCTGTAAGCTAATTGCAGCTATCTCTTATCTTCTATTCTTATGCTCTAAGCGCGAATGCCCCATCACGGCCGCACATGACGCGATGGATCTCTGTAAATTTCAACTAGTTTCATCACAACCGTCCATTCTTGCCATCTCCTATGGGAAGGCCTTTGGTCGCTATATATATATATATATATATACCTGAGTTTTTTCCCCATAGTAACTTACAATCAACTTCATAAATGTTTTATCCATCCCAAGCAGACCCATAATGTATGTTAAATATTTCAGATTTAAATTTAGTTGGTAATACGGCTCTGTTTGGGAGAGCTGACTTATTGATTTTTAAAGTAACTTTTTAGTAAAAAAAAACCTTAAATTAGAAGCTTTTTGTACTGAAAAATTGCTTTAGAAAGCAAAAAAAAAAAACGTACCACATCTAATCATAATTTTTAAGAATTTTTTTAATATAAATAGCTTTATTTATTTATTTAGCAAAAAAAAAACTTGGTTGAGCTTCACCCACTTGCAATCATTCCTAGCCACAAAAAAATAAAAGAACAATGTATACAATGAATATGTTGGAAAAAAAACCACTGCCTCTAAAGTGATACTGTGTTCAACCCACTGAATTTCTTCTTTTCCACTTGCAGCACATACCAATCATTTTCATCATCAATAAAATATTTCCTCTTGGTTATTAAAAGTTAGTAATAAAATATTTATTTATTTATTTTAGTAATTGATAAGATGACGCTAAACATGAAATATTGAAATGTTTGAAGTTAACATTGTAAGAGAGAATGACTCCAAAGTGCTTAAGATTTTTTTTATTTTTTTTTTCTATTTTTGCTATCTAATATTATTTATCAAAGCTTTGCTCGATGACATTAACTAAATCAAATTCCTTTAATTTATTGTATCTTGGTCAAACGGGGGTGAATGTCATGTGTATCCAAATCTGAAAGCGAAACTCACTGGCAATTTTTTTTAAAAATAAATATCATATATTATTGTAAAGTTTTTTATTTTTCCATTGAATTGTTATTTTCCTTTTGAGATCATGACTGTGACCTTACCTAGGAAGCAGAAATCCATTTAGGGATTGTATATAAAATTTGGAACTCATTGAATTTTTTTTTTTTTTTATGAAGTATCTCATATTTGCAAGAAGCTTTGAGAAAGATAAAACATGGTTCCCTTGGATGCAATTTTAAAAAAATATATTATATGAAAGGATTTACTCAACTACAATATTTATGCTCAATATGTTTGTTGCGTCCTTGAGTATTCGCGGCAATAGATAAATATAAAATTTAGTGTCATAGCGTTGTACGAAAATTCGGCGCGCAATCAGATAAGAAAGATAGTGTAGCATTCATATGAGACACCAAGATTTTTACATGAAAAATTCTTGAAAAGAGGAAAAAATCACGGGGCCTAGCCCAGTTTGAATGAATCCACTAATAATTGCAATTGATTACAAATGAGGCCATTCTTTGGGGGAAGGCCTTAGCTTGATGTACATCTTATAGAGTACACTACATAGTGGGAATACAAAGAGTCACTGTTGACGTATTCGTTTGATCGGAAGGACCATAGTCGATGGGCGACGTAAGCCAGAAGGACCGTAGTCGGCGGGCGACAGGGGTCGGAAGGACTGTAGTCGATATGCGACGTAAGTCGGCTGGATCGTAGTCGGTGGGCGACAGAAGTAGGAAGGACTGTAGTCGGTGGGCGATGTAAGTCAAAAGGACCGTAGTCGGCGGGTGACGGAGGTCGGTAGAATTGTAGTTGGTAGGCAATGTAAGTCAGCAGGACCGTAGTCGGTTGGCGACGGAGGTCATAAAGATCGTTGTCTGACGACGGAGGTCGGAAGGAATGTGTCAGGTAGAAGTCCATCAATGGACAGAAATCCAGCATCGGATAGATGTTCGACAAAAATCTGACAACGAACAAAAGTTCGACGTCGAGTAGAAATCTGGCAACGAGTGGAGGTCCGCCGTCGGGTAGAAGTCTGACGTCAATCGGCGACCGGGGAGAATTCCGGCGTTAGATGGTATTCAGGCAAAACTCCAGAGTCACCTAGAGATTAGACATAATTACGGCGTCCCGTGGAAGTCGGGCGAAATTTTGGCGTTACTTGGAAAGTCTAGCGGAATTCCGGCGTCACTCAAACGTCGAGCAGAATTCCGACGTCACTCGGGCAGAATTCCGACGTCACTTGGGCGTCGGGCAGAATTCTAGCGGTGGTCGATGAGCTTCTTCCCTCCTATCCTTCTCTTCTTCTTTTCGTCTTCTTCTTCTTGCTTCTTGCTTGGGTCCCCTCTCACGAGAAATGAGGGGCTATTTATAATTTTTTAGGATCACATAACCCGTAAATAGGGGGATGAACAGGGGCAAATGTGGAGTGGTTCGGATGGACAGCCGATATTAAATCCCTTGATCGTGGACCGTTTGTCAGACATTTGAAAGTCTTAACGATATCGGAATTCTTCGATCTTGGGCTCGTTGGATTCGTCTCGTCGAGCCGCTCCATTCGATTATTAGCAAGTCATATTTGGAAACTGTTTGGTAATCCAAATTATGGATTGAACCTTCCGAATGTGCTCGGGTCTTCAATTTGGACCCATTTGGGCTCGGATCGAGTTGAATTTTGTGTCTTTGGGTTCGTACTTCCGAGACGATCAATTCCACTGTAAGTTTGTTGAAATCAAAGTTCAAATGATCCCAGATTTAATTTTTTTAGTTTCCAACTTAATTTTTGCCTTGAGATTTGTGCCCGATCAAGAAAATTTTTTGATTACATATCAATGTTAATATGATTATCCTTTCAAGGCTGACAATCAGGGTTGCCCCCTAATCTTAATCTGCTTCTAAGGGAATTAATATAATAATACATAGGAGTTTTTTTAACTACGATAATGTCTAGGACATTTTACATTTGATGTCTAGAACATTCTAAATTCGAGAAAGATATCTATCAACATAGCTACCATGGATGCATAAATAAATTTATAATTGAAGGATTTACTTGAGCACAATCTTGACCGAGATGCTAATACTGCAAGGTTGCAATCAAGCTATCTCCATAATCCAAATATGCTTCTTAGGGACAAAAATTTTAATATGAAAATCGTAAACAAGAAAGAAAAAAAAAACATTATTCAAGAGTCAGATGAAATGATTTCACTATTGTATGTCATTAACTATAAATGTTGCATTTTCTAATTGTTAGAAAAAGATTAATACAATGTAATAGACATTGATTATAAAAGTTTAATTCTGTGGTGAGGGTTGCCTTGAGATATTAAAGTTATCTTCAAGAGATTATTCGATGTATGTTCAATCATTCTTCTTTCAAAAGATAAGACACGAAATCAAAAAATATAGTCTAAATCTTGGTGTTAATGAGGAAGATTACATTATAATTAGGTGACGATGGTCTGACGACCATAGCTAAGCAACAGTAGTCAAAAAATTATAGTCAAGTGACAACCTCTATAATCAGAACATGATCGAATGACAGTGGCCTATTGATGGTTGTCGTAATGACAATTGTCGAACAACAATCATAGCTTGGTGGTGGTCCAAAGATATTGATCTAATATCAACGATCTAATGGCGGCGGCCAATGATAGCGGTTCAAAATTGGAGCTCTCTCTTTAATTTCAAATCAAGGTAAAACTCAACCTTATGTTTCATGTAGAGAATAAACATCTATTTATACACTTTTAAAACGACAACATCTATAAATATACCCAGAATCCACGACACTCCTTAGAACACCCCATCTTTATCCTTTCAATTATAAATAATTATTCTAAGGTTCAAGTGTTTTTAATGATGAAAATTTAAGCGATATTTGGTTTGTTAAATTTGTCTCATCAAAACACTCAATTTGATCATATGCATGCAATATTTAGAGATATTTTGATTATTACCACAATAATTCTAATTATTGCTTCAAGTGCTTTTTTCGGGCTCGTTAAAATTCAGATCGGTTCACCTTAGATGTCGATGAGTTTATCTCATCAAAACATTTAACTCGGCCATAAATTTACTATCATCATTAATACATCATCCAAAAATTATCTTGATCGTGCACGAATCTCAAGGCAAAATCAAACTGGAAACTTCAAAAATTAAATCCGGGATTACCTGAACTCTGATTTCAACAAACTTACAGTCGAACTGAGCGTCTCAGAAATACGAACCCAATGACACCAAATTCAACTCAATTCGAGCCCAAATGAGTCAAAATCAAGAACCCAAAGCGTTGTTGGAAAGTTTGTACCACAATTTGAGTTACCAAACGGTTTCCAAATTTGACGAGCTTATAGTTGAATCGAGCGGCTAGACAAGACAAATCCAATGAGCCCAAGTTCACATAATTCCAAAGACATATAGACCTTCAAATGCCTGATAAATGGTTCATGATCGAAGGATTCAATATCGGTCGTTCATCTAAACCACTTCATATTTTCCCCTGATCTCTCTCCTATTTACAGGTCGTGTCACTCCAGAAAATCTATAAATAGGCCCCTCATTTCTCTTGAGAAAAAAAACTAAGCAAGAATAAGAGAAGAAGAGAAGAGAATGATATGAGAAAATAACTCATCGACCACCGCCAGAGTTTTGTCTGACGCCCGAGTGACACCGAAATTCTGCCGGATGCCCGAGGGACGTCGGAATTCTTCTCAAGGGACATCAGAGTTATGTCCGATGCTTAAGGGACACTAGAGTTCTGCCTGATGCCGGAATTATACCCGACCTTCGAAGGACGCCAAAATTTCGCCCGATCTCCAAGTGACACCGGAACTTTGCTCGACGTTTTAACTGATTTTCAATCTTGAAGATATTCATTGTAATCTGATCGTCCTAAATTTTAAGGGCGAGCCAGCCTCTTGTATTCCAAACAAATAATAGTGGAACTCTTTCAACTGGGCGTGGCCCCGTGATTTTTCCCCTTTCAAGGTTTTCCATGTAAAAATTCTGTGTTGTTATTTCACCTCTGTTTGTGTGCTAGATATTCATACAACACTAAGACTAACGTTTATTAACTCTATCGCTGCGTATATTCTAATCCGCAACCATCATAATTTCCATTTGATCTTAAAAATTTTCAATTTAAATATTACCTTAAAACTAATATCGGATCTAATAAATTATTGGATTATGAATCAATACTCATCTCAAAATAAATTTGAAATTTTTTTATCAAATTTTGTCAGAATTTTTAATAATTTTTTTTTTTCTTAAATAGTATCTCCACTTAAGCGGTGCATGATAGGTTGTGCCAAAGCATATAAATTATTGAAAGAAGTTATCCTTAAATTATTCTATCCATTTATCCTTGCAAAGAATTAAACAATTATCCTTCCAATTATCCTCAAATCTATGGCTCTTTCTATAAAGGCAATCCTGCTGATAGCCCTATGTGGACCCTCCGCATGGGACCTCCATGCGACGTCCTGATCATGCGGTTAGTCGGCAGCTGACGTGGACGGCCTGATTGCTTCCACGTTTAAGATAACCTCGAAAAAACGGCCACATACTGAGTCGGTGAATGCATCGGTATATATTTTGAAATTGTAATAAAGAAAAAATAAATTTAAAACCTATAATATTTATAAATTGCAAAATTTCATATTTTCTTAAATTTTTAATTTCTTTTTAATAATATAACATAATGTTTAAATGATTATATATATATTATCATTTGTTTAAAATATTATTTTAAAAAAAATTATTATTGGAGATTTACATACATACTACTATAATTCATATTATTTATATATCTAACATCTAAAAATTAAATATTATATTTATATCATTAATATAAAATTTTAATATCAAATATATCAATATATCAATCATATATTTTATTATTATCATTCATTTCATCCTATTAAATTTAATATTTTATTTATATTTATTTTATAAGTGATAAATATATAATATTAAAATTTTAAATATTAAATATGTAAATGATATAAAATAAAGGGGTATGTAAGTAAATCAATTTATTTTACATCAAGAATTTACGAAGAGTTGCTCTATATATATTACGCCGTTCGAATAACTGAGATGGGCGTACCTTCGCACAGTGCGCAACCGCGCCCTTTCCTCTATCTGGGGTTCTAAAATTGGTACCTTTCTCCATTGCTCTGTTTATCCCCTTCTCTTCCCGATCAAAAGCTGCAATCTTTAGTTAGATTTTTAAGATTTCTTCCTTTCCGTATGATTTTGCAGAATCATCGAAAAGGATCCGATTCAAAAATCCTGTTTTTTTAGCTTGATATTTTTTCTTGTTTCGAGCTGCAATCTGATAGCTTTAGCTTTGATATTTATTCGCGCAATCTGAATGATCTGTTATGGAGCTTCTTCTGTTACTATCGCTCTGAATTTTCTGATGCTAACTAACGTAGGTGAATATGGTGGAAGAGGGGAAGATGGAAATCAGCGGCAGGCATTCTCGCCGGCCCTCGAAAATTAGGGTTTGTGACAGGGAAGAAAGTTTTGATCGGTTGAGTGAATTACCTGATGCGCTTCTTCTTTACATACTTTCCTTCCTGTACGTTGATGATGCGATTTCGACCGGTCTGTTGTCAAGAAGATGGAGGAACTTATGGAAATGGATGGATTGCTTGGATTTTCCTATGCAGTGTGGTAAATCGAAGAGGAATTCGATACGGTTCATTGAGAGAGCACTTAGTTTACACGAGGGTTTAAAGATCAAGAGATTTTGTGCGCGGTTCTGCTATAATTCAAACTACATACCTCGTGTTGATTCTTGGGTGAGTTTTGCGGTTGCTCGAAATGTCGAAAAGCTTGTTCTGGATCTTTTCTGTGTGGAAAATGGAGTGCAGCCTTATGTGATTCCTGGAATTCTTTACAAATGTAGGTCATTGCGGGAGCTGGAAGTGAACTTTTGCAGATTTGTTCCGCCGTCTTCTTTCAGCTTGAGCTCCCTTAAGAAGCTTGTGGTTAATAACACTGTTTTTGTTGGCGAGATGTTGAAGATTCTGATTTCTGGATGCCCAGTTCTTGAAGAATTGGTCTTGGTGAACTGCAACCAAGCTCGCAATCTAGATGTTGTGGTTTTGAACCGAAATCTTAAGAGAATGAAAATTGTGGAGTTTCCTGATGAGGTGGAGGAAGGTACTGAGGTGAAAATTAATGCTCCTTATCTTTTGCATTTGGAGCTGCAATCTGGAGATCCCAGGCCTTATATCATACAGGATGCCTCATCAATTGTGTCTGCCTGCCTCGATATAAGAAGAATAGTTACATGTTTGTCACTCAATGCTTATAATCAGAAGAATTCCATGAGGATAATAGAGAATATCATGGTAGGTCTTCATGAAGTCAAGACCTTGAAGCTATCTAGCTGGTGCGTTCAGGTATGGGCCTGTTCATATTTTCAAAGTATGAAAAAAATGTTGGTCTGGTGCTTGGCTTCTTCTTATTATTTGCAATACATGGCAATTACTTTAGGAAACACTGAAATTGGGGGGAAACTTTGGCTTCATTTGGGAAGGCTTTCTTACCGCTTCTTAAAATAACTTTTTACTACAAAAATTTTAATTTTTATATCATAAAGCTTCTTTAAGAAGCAAGAAGAAAGCAGTCCCAAACAAAGCCTTTATCTTTAAAGAATTATATCAAACTAATTCATTTGTTCTTGAATACCAATCACATTTCTCAAAGTGTATTTTCTTTCATTACACCTAATTGAACTCAAATGACATTGTTAACTGCCAAGCTCTTTGATCATTCTTTCCTTATCTTCTTCAACTATTTTTTTCATGAAGGCTATGCTCGCATATGAAGACGTTCATACTTGCCTACCAACTACACTACAACAGCTAAGACATCTAAAGCTGGATGTGCAATTAAGTAAAGATGAACTCCCTGGTATAGCCTGCTTGTTAAGGAACTCTCCTGAGATAGAGATCTTGACCATCCAACTTTGTAGACACGCCCATATGGACAAGGTACACTCCTATTTCTATATCAAAATATATAGTTTTTTGCAATTTGTTCTATGTTATACAAATGCCTTACATATTACTTATTGCAGGACATAATTGAACCTATGGAAAATGGAAATACAAACCTTTCTAATTGGTGTGAAGGGAGCTTATGGAAATGTCATCAAGCCCCTTTCTACAGCCTGAAGCATAATCTAAAGAAAGTTGTAGTGGGAAACTTTAAAGGAGAAGAAAACGAAATTAGGTTCCTGGCATTCCTGCTCAGGAACTCACTGGCCTTGAAGAAACTAGTAATATTGGTTCAACCGATATATTTTACTGGTTCGGGTGAAGCATACGTAGATTATTGCAGAAAAGTTGGAAGAGCTTCCAAGAAGTACCTTGAGAGTATCAGAAAATTGATGGGTTCGCCAAGATCTCCACATACTGAGATTCTGTTCTCTGGAAGCCAACCCACCTGTTTTTTCTAGTTCCTGACACCAAAACTAAATTATCCTCAAAAATACTAGTTTGTATAGTTATCTAATAACGACAACCACTATAAAAAACCTGAAAAATAACCAGTCCATGTAAATATTACTTTGATATGACTGAGGAAACAGTAAAGCACAGCTGAGGAGCTGAACTGTTGCAAGTCTGCCTATCTATACAACTTTTTTGATATATATGCGCATCAAGAACTGCCACTTCATAATTAAATTTATTTCTGCACTTTGTTTCTTAACTTGCTGGTAATTAGTATTTCCGAAGTAAAAATGAGCAACTAACCCATCTTTTCAGCTGAATTTTCTAATCATTACAGGTGGTGAAGTTAGTTGTGATATTCAGGTTGATCAATTGCTTAAAGAAATACAGAGATGTGGATAACGCACAAAACACAAATCAGTAGTTGTGATATTTAACTACTGATTATTTACAACGATATTTGGAGAAGCGAAGTACTTTCAACATTACAAACAATTTCCATAAAAACAAGATTGGAATATTGAACTTCTAAAAACAAAATAAGCACGAACACTTATTTGAGCACGCCTTAATAGTTAATTTCCTTAACAGGAAAAAAAATCTGAAATAATAATTAAACGAGAAGCTCACTTTTACAATTGCGTCGTGGCAGAAAATAGCTCAGCTTCAACTTTAAAAAAAAATGCAAGATAGAATAACAGACCTTCAAATCGAAACTACAACAAATACGATAAGAATCTTATTTTCGGTTTATCAATTCATTGCTTCACCAGCTTCTATGCCGAATTGTGGAAAATTTGTTGGCAGTGTAAAGACAGGTTCTTCGCCACTTTGGCCTAGGAATGCACGCCCTAATGAATAACCAAGGGCTCTTGAAACTGGCACAGCAACAGCATTTCCAACTTGAATATACCTACAAAGTCTAAATTGCTAAGAATCGAATTGAAAAAGAAAAAAAATCCCATCACTAATCCAGATTACTTCCAATAAATTCAGCTAATGATATAATATGCAAGCAAGAGAAACATACTACTTCACTAAATGCAACATTTGAATTGAATTAGTACTCATGCTGAGAAAATGTACTTTAAATTCTTCTCAGATGAATTTCAATAAGAACGACTTCACTGATTAAGACTTCATTTGGGACGGCTTCTTTTAATGCTTCTTAAGACAGCTTTTTTATATAAATTTTTTTATTGTTCTAAAAAGCTGTTTTAAAAACAGTAAGAAAGTCGTCCCAAACAAAGCCTAAATTATACAATAGAAATTTTACCTCTCTTTAATTGGCCCACAAAGTTTATAGTGATCAGGAAAACCTTGAAGCCTCGCATTTTCTCTAATAGTCAACACCCTATCTTGTTCAGGGTGTAAAATAACCTACAAAAGAAACTACTGAGTAAGAACCAAAGAATTCCAGAAATTGAACTATATGAGTGTGTGATTTCAAGCCATTAAATCAGAGAACCTGGTTGTGAGGCTCTGCCCTAGTTACTACTGTAGGAACAGTCTCGTCCCACCATAACCGTCCAAAAGGCCTGTTTGGAACAGAAAATATGTATCAAGTAGACTATTTACTAGGATTTACAAAAGAAACAAATAGATGAGAAAGAAATTGAAAACCTACTTCGTTGACCTTCCCTTAATAAATGACATTGCATAATCAGGTACCTGTCAAGAAATTTTCTAAGTGCCATGAATTTTAGTCTAAGTAGTTAAAACTGAATAGGCAAATTTACCAAAGGATTCCCTGAAGGCAGCAACACCCGTTCCACCTCTGGATCAAATTCCACTGTATTATTGGGTCCAACTCTAACTCCAGGGAAGTCTCTAAAATTGGCACCCTATACACATGACAGAATTTCTTAAGCCTTACAGTTTCAAAAATGGTCCATGGAAAGACGCAAGTAATTAACGAACCTTCTTTTTAGGAACTCTACAGACACGCAAATAATCATCCTCATTTAATTGTAGAGGCCTGTGATCAAATAGTGTATCATGTAGAAGTGACTTCTTGGGATTGCAGCAGGGGTCCATCGAATCTAAGAATTAGTGAGAATGCAAATATAAAAACATTAAATAAAACTGACGGTTTATAACAATGCAGTTTCATGCCAATATTTTACAAGATGAAGGGGTGCTCATATAAACAGTTTCATGATATCAAAGTTTGAAGTGTCCACTAATAATATAGAAATATATCAATATTTAACAAGAAACATAGAACTTTATGAAAATAAGAAAGCACTCATACGAAAAATCTGTAAGAAATAAGTATCATATCCCACAATACCATTATTTTACACCATGGAAACAAAGCTCATATAAACATTTAAGACGCTGAAACTCTTAATATGTTCATCACAACAACGAATATATTACAAAAAATATAAAAGAGCAAATATAAAGATGATAAATAAAAAAATATGACAAATCAACTAAAAAAGTTGTTTGATTTTTACAATCAAATTAAGACATTTCACAAAAGCAATTTATCATATGCATTAAGCAAATAAGAAGAAACTTAATATCAATTATAGTGAAATGATCATGCAAATAAAAGAGTATTATGCATATAAAATATAAGAAAGCTAAAACTTATATAATATAGACGAAAGTATGATATTATTCATCATCAAAACTTTTAAATAGAAAAATTACACAAAAATTTTTGGGAATGGATGAGTTATTATTTTGCCTTGTAGTTTTTAAGAATACTGCTGATATACCTGATGCAGTAAGACGAATAGAATACTGAAAATCAGTTTTTGGAGGTTCTCCATATGGCATTTCGTCTCTCCCTTCATTATTTTCAACCTAAAGGTTGATCAACGAAGACGTTATTAAAGTAGAATGACTAACACAAGAAAAACGTTTCTAAACAAAACAGCATTGCATACTTTTGGTAAATCTGAAATGGCATCGCCAAGTAGCAAGGCCGTGGGTAGTACTACTTTCTGATCTTCATTATAAGCAACAACATTGTTCTAAACAAATAGAAACTCCGTTAAGCAGTATCTAGTAAAAACAATTTTAAATGTCAAAATGTAATATTTACCTCAAATTTTACAGGAGCTCCACCTCGTACAAGTACATCATGTGTAGGTAAAGGAAATTGTGGTATAACCTATAGAAAAACAACTTTTAATACAACTAAATTTAAAATTGCTCCAACATCAATTGAAATAGAGAACAAACAAAATACCTCAGTAGGTCGAGCACCCCACAGAAATACTCTCATCCGAAATTGTGGAAGGCCATAACAGCCGGCAGCCATTATGCCCAATCTAACTTGATAATTCATTTGCACCAGCTTGCTTAAGGCAAACCTTCCAAGAAACCCTTCAGCAAACTTTAGAATATCCACAACATTCTCCATCAAAACATACTTTGGCTTCAGAAAATCCACAATTTCCATAAATACAGCCATTTGTTGGTTTCTGACATCTGCCAGCGGATTGTTAGAATCTCTAAATCTGTTAAACCCACTTATACCTTGGCAAGGAGGACCACCACAAATAACATCAACAAATCCCTGCAAAGCATAGGAAAATAATTTTAAAGCATTGGCATATTAGTATAAATGCTTTAAGTTATAAATTGAAAAAGAAAAACTTACAGGCAAAGGAAGTATGTGGTTTTTATATCCTTTTCGAACAAAAGCTTCAATCCTCTCAGAACACTTCCTATATGATTAAAGAATAATTAATAACTAAAAATAAACAACAAAGATCACTGATAAAAATATATTGTACCTTAGGCCACTATTTGGCTCCCATGTATCTTCACTTGGTCCGTAACCTTTCCATCGTACCTATATAATATAAATTGTAAATTACTAAGAAAAATTAGAATCAACTTAGATAAACCATAGTGCTTAACGCATACTAAAAATAACATGTTATAAAATACCATTCCTCACACAATATATATTACCTTAAACATCAATTCTTTTTTCCCAATATTATTGGGATCTCCATAGCAAACATCAACAAAATGATCAACTTCAAACTCTCCATTAGGCAAGGGAGATGAATCATCATTGTCATAACCATCACCAAGCTCATATTCCTCTGTGCTTTGCTTCGGTGGATGATTGACATCCAATGAAAACTTTTCACATAATTTCTTCCACTCTCTCAAGAGAGTAAGAAAATCCTCAGCTTTTTCATTTCGAACCTGCATATTCATTAGACATTCAATAGCATTACATAAATAGGGAATTAATTTTTTTAATAAAAAAAAAATCTGAGAATATACAATATTAATAAAGCCAAACTCAAACAAGGATCAATTCTCTATAGAGTAATGTTTTATCAACAAATACATCTTATAGAAAAAATTAGTCACTCACAATAGATGAACCATCTTAAATGCTATCAAAAGACAAGCTATTCTAAAATCTTCAATACAGCACAAAAAGTAAATATGATCAAACACACATTTTGATGCAATTTTTATAGCTTAAAGCACAGAAGTACATAGGTCAAAAAAGTTAAGCTATGAGACCATCTAAACTTGGTTTTAAGTAAAACTTATAATTGAGTCAGAGCATCTTGACCAAACAAACACAAAAATACTAAAATCATTTAAATTCAAACTGACTTAAAACCAAACACTAGGAAGCATTATTAAAAACTTCTCAAAGCCATTTGAAAGCCTAAATTTCCACCAAATTATAGGTGTTTATAGTCAAAAGAAACATCTAGACGTGACAATCTATGCAGTTTATCTCTTTGAAAATCAAAATTAGCAATTGAGTTTCATATTTTAGTATAAGTCGAGAATTAATTATTTTACGCTAATATTTTCTAGTCATGCCTTTCATATTTTATATAATTTCATTTATGAACCTTTTATGTTGCAAAGTCTTTGTGACTAATTATATTTTGAGTATATTTTACCTTGTTAATCCATCTAGTGTTTTGGGAAAAAGTGATATATCAATGCATGTATTGTAATGTGTCAAGTAAAATCTATATTGTGATAGTGAAGTCATAATAGTCATTTTTTACTTCCATTGACAAACATTATACATGTTGACCTCCATATCACCATCTAATTTCTCACAACCTTTTCACATGCATTCTCACCACCTTTAATTTCCCACTAATGAATGATAAATGATATATGATTCTACTTGAATAAAGATATCATTTGTTGTGTTTTCCACTTCAAAAGACTTTATTTGACTTCACAACCCATGGAAAATGACTTCCAAAGAACAAGTGGGATTACTAGGAGAAAGGACTATCGTAGACATCAACTTCAATTTTGCATCACTTTGGCATCAATTGCTTCAAACTCTACACATCGTCCCCTTAATTTATTATGTATGGGCACCTTACTTAGTTAAGGTGGCTAAAGCTAATCTTATATCACCATGATTTTTTTATTATCAAGTTGGTAAATTGATAGCAATTGGATACTACTTAAGCTAACTATAATAGTCAATTAGATTGTGAATCTTGTCCATTCACGCTTCCACATGTACACACAAGTTAACAGAACACTTGAATTTGTCCCATATTAAGAGACATCATCAATTTTTTAAAATCTGAAGCATTTAACAACACCATCCTTAAAACTCAATAATTTTAAAATCTATAATTGCCTAAAGAGACAACAATTTTGGACTCCATTTATTTCACCTACTTTTAAAAGAGTACTCTATCTCACATTTAAATGATTTAGTCTAAGAATTTCTCTTCTCAATAAAATGTCATACAAAACTACAAATATTATAACACTGTAGGAGGTAAATAGGACAAGTTACTCCAATACCACCCCTTCATAACTAACCAGTCTATTCGGCAAAAAAAGAATTTATTTTTCCCAACTTTTATAGACATTCTATATCTTTCCATAGAGTAAAATCTTAATTAGTAACAAACTCCATAGTTCTTAATATTTTTAACCATTCTCTAGAAAGTTGTTCATACCACTGAGCTCTCTACTCACAATTCAACCCATGAACAATCAACTTTGGCTTATGTCTATAGAGGAAGTATAGGAAGTCATAAACATGTCACATAGGCATATGGGATAAATTATTTTGTCAATTTCTTCCTAATTACCAAACTAAACATCATCTTGATTCTTATTTATAGCCATCAATGAAGGCTAAAATCTGCTACAATAGATGCAAGTAATGTGTTCTTCTATGAGGTCCATAAATGAAGCCATTCATATGAAAAATCATCTATGCATGTTGCTCTATTTTAGACTTGCTCTACTTGTAAAACCCCTCCGAAGTTCATAATTTTTAGTACATTTAGTCTGTACAAAATTGACTTTAGTATGGGACGAACTGAAGAAAATTGTGAAGAATCTGTATGATTCGTCTGGACGAACCTGTACGAGCGTGGACGAACCGTCGGGATGAAATTTGTCCAGAGAGCAAATCGTCCAGGAACGAATACACTTCGTCTAGACGAGATTTATCCAGAGGGTAGATCGTCCCGGGACGAATATGAATCGTCCGGAACGATCCTGTTTGATAAGTATTGGACTTGAGATATTTTGGAATCATTTTGAAGAGAGAGAAAAAGCTGGAGAGAGAAAGAAAAGGAAAGAGAAGATGAAGGCTTGATTTTGGAGGTCGCGGAGCGCTTTTCTTCCGTCGTCGTTGTTAGAAGAATTATTTATCTCGTAGTAAGGACTCCGAATCCTATTTCTGATTTCAAAAATTTTGAGTTTTAGTATTTTTCTGCTCAGTTTTGTGTTTCCGTTACCGAAAAACATGCATAACTTTGTATTGACGAAACTTTTACCTCGTAACTTTTGGTATGTTATAGAAATGATGATTCCGCACGATTTGATTATTTTCTGGGAAGTTTTCATCCGGAAAATTCTGTGTGATTTTTATCGATAGAAAATTATATCCGAATGTTGAAAAATATTGATTCAGTACAAGTAAAGTTTTGAAACATTGTTTTAAGCAATTTCTAGTAATTTGGTAATTTTCTGGATCAATGCATTTTACAATGACTTATGTCTGCTATACGATATTTTAAGGAGTTTTCTAAATTGAGCTAAATCATGTTTTACGGTTACAATGCATTGATGAGATAATGATGAATGTTGTTATATGATTGAAGGTGTTGTTATATTATTGTGATACTACTGTGTATTGTGTGTGTGAAAGACAAGTAAAGACTGGTTAGACCGTTGGTTGGAGACTGATTGACCTGTACAGGATGGTGGACCGACGGGCTTTCCTTTAAATATGGTTTGGTGTTATCCTCTACTGATCACGTGATTACTGAATGGAGTTATAAGGAGATGATTACTGTGCCGACGGGTAAAGAGTGATGAGTCTTTTTACTGAGCCAACGAATACAAGATACAAAATATTGATACAAGACTGAAAAAACACCTTAATAGCCAGTGCTTTTACTTGCTCTGTATGACTATTGCACTGAATTGCATGTTTAGCAGTATTGTTACTGCTACTGTGTGGATTTATTTATACTGACGAATTTATCGTTATTGTACTGTACTGATTTAGTTAATGCACGGATTTACTGTTAATGCATGATTTCATTGTTATACCATTAATGTTCATGTCACTGGATTGTACTGATACAGGTACTAATATTATTGATTCACTTTATTTACATTATGCACATGATATATTGTGTAAGTGACATATGATTCACTGAACATGTGATATAGATTACTGGATTTCGTGTGATTCACTGAGCACGTGATATTGGATAATTGAATTGCAAGTGTACGTTTTGATATGATTCTACGGCATTGATTGATTTCGATTGTTTCAAATAATGTTATGATTTTATTTTATTGATTTGATTTCAATAGTTCGTGATAGTATTGATTTGATGTTTTATATTAACTGATATTATTGAACCAATGATTTATCTTTATACAACTGATATTTGATTCTTATTGAAACGGTGATTTATTGATTGATTTGATTGATACTACCGATACGATGGTGTTATAGATAGTGACGACTACTGTAGAGATTTGACATACGTACTAATTCATTGAGCTTTACGGACTTTTATACTGTTTACTGATTCTTCTATTACCGATTGAGAATTATTGTTTCTGTATTGATATTGTTTACGCATTGACTATCGTTTCTGTATTGATTTCTGATTCTGCATTGATTCAAATGATCATGTGTAAGTGACTGCAATGATATGACTAATTGACATGTATATTGCTTTTGTACCGTGCTTTGATTTCAATTGTAGATTTTGGTGACCTGCTGGGCTTTTTGAAGCTCATTATATGTGGTTAATATTTTCATGTCAGAGCAAAGGAGCAGGAGATTGAGATTGATCAGGAATGTTCAGGTTTTTGTCTTTTTGTTATAGTGATTCTTTTTGTATTCAGGACAGTATGGATTATATGTGATTAATATATAGATCCTGAGTATTGTAAATGAACTTTTGGGAATGAATAAAAATGTTTACATGATGTTTTAAATTGTAGATTTTGTTAGACTGTTTACTATTTATTGATGACTATAATTAGCTCTGGTAGAAGATTGACTTAAATGATTGACTGAATAATTCTTCCAAGTTAGATCTTGGGGCATCACACTACTAGTCTAAAAAACTACCCAAAATCTTACACAAAATCTACAAACTTAGTTTGAAATATTGATACATCAAGGCAATGTGCAAATTGACTTTTTTAGTTCTTGCTAACAAGAAGTTGAAACCACTAATAAGTTGAGTTAGACCACATCTCCTAAGTACTTAATGATACATCGCAATATCAATGGTCAGTTAAAAAGCTCATTTAACTTAACATTATTAAATATGCATCTCATTCATCATTAGAACTGTTAGCTAACACATGCAACATTAAAAAAAAACATCTAAAGGTTCTACAAATTCATTAGTAAATAAAAAATTATCCTAGAAAAATAATTCATATATACTAAAATTGAGTGCCTAAATATTGAACTTTCTAAAATGTTGATTATACTACCTCAAATGAAAACAAGTCCTCCTTAAATACTATATTTTTTACAAAGATAACCTAGTCACCAAAAAAATAAGAAGTAAAAAACATTCTAATGTGACAAGATCCAAAGCAAAGGTTGAATACAAAGCTAAAGTCCACTTGCATATAAAATGATAAGGGTATTAACTCTTTCAGGATAATTTGATTTCCCATTTCTAACATTTGGCACTACATTATAACAATCATGGCACCACCAGTGTTATCAACAATTTAATTTTCCATAAAGTAAACATGATAGTTATGATTGGCATTGCATATAAAATGTGCTTTCTATGAAAGTTACAACTCTCCCAAGTTTTCAATTCAAAATAAGTAACAACTTTCTTTACAAAATATCTAAATCATCTATCATTTTTGCATTTATATGACAGGAAAGAGTTAATAAATAAATATGCTAAGTGTTGAAGTATGAAATATATGGAAATAATAACAATATTAGAAAAGATCATATTTATAGAATATTTTATAATAGATATGTGTATTTATAAAGTATAATTATGAATATTGTCTGTTTTTATATTCAACATGTATGCACCCATATAATGATATAAATGATTAGTTCAATCAACAATATACCAGAAAAATGTTCATACTCAACTATTTAATTAAACCCTAAAGTTTTGGTTGAGGTATGTTATTGTACTTGAATTCATTTAGCAAGAAGTTTACCATTGAAATTTTATGTGATTATGTTTGATAATCAAATATCTAGCCAATTTTCTAAACATTTGTGTGCAACCACGAGAAGGCATGTGACATAATTTGTCATAGCATTCTAACAGATCACGCCCAGGCCACTTATCTAGACATATTAGGGTACTCAATACAATAGATGCGACTCTGATTGTGAATAAATAAGAATAATCAACACTTTATGCAATATGAAGTGATATCAAAGGAACATTACTACGAGAAAATACACTAAAGTATAGTTTCTGCAAATTTAATCAGCTATTTAACTATTAAACAATGAAAAAAAATCATCCTAATGACTAAGAGTTCTTCAAAGCAAGAATGAATATACAAAAATTACTAAAATAATATTAAATGTAAATAAAGAAAATAAAAATTTAAAAAAAAAAAAAAAAAAAAAATTTAAAAAAAAAAAAAAAACAGAAACATAAAGATTCAACTTATACCTTGGTTTTAGGATGGTTCAAGCGTAGGCTTTCACATGCAAAGGAATTCAAATCTACTGCCCATGTCTATGATAGGCAATAACCAGGGAAAAGTCAAAAAACAAAAAACCCAAATATAAAACATTGGGATTGTATCAAAATAAGTTAATGATTGTAGCTTACAGTGAGAAGATTAAGCCCTACGAGATGGGCACCTTGACACAAGCCAGTAGACATTGCACCACAACCAGAGTACAAATCAAGCAATGTAGCATTCATTGCTGGTGCTTCACGTTCACCAATCTCATTACTCAATGTTGTTGACAAGGAGCTTACATCACTCCTATCGTCTATGAATACAAAGATGGCAACAAATCAAAACTTACAAACTTTAAATTTACAAACCAAAAAATGGAAGTTGAATATTGGAAAACATGAATCAAGGAAGGTCCATAGGTACCTTTCGATATATTGGCAAAAGTGGAGTAGGCGGTTGAATAAGACATATCATAATAATAATCACACTCTGGAATTTCATCTGATTTAGTAGTCATACAAATCTAGCAAAAAGAAGTACCAATAAATAAAAAATATAATAACTAAATGCAAAATCATGTAAATATTGTTTTCATGAAACGTATTAATTCATTACATTGGATGTAATCCGAGCAATAGTAATCTTTGCAACAATACAATTTAAATCATTATCATTTTGGTCTTCAGACAAAAATACTCTTCGTTCATCATGATCTTTTGAATGATAACTTATTACCTGCATAAAACAAACACATAATAAGAATTAACTATCACTGATCACCAGTCCATAAAAAAACACAGATTTTATAAACAACTTACTGTATCTACAGCTTTGTAGAACCATTGAGCTCTGAAATAAAGTTTTCCATCAATAGTTTCAAAAAATTCAATAATTCTTCCAACAAAGTTTGGTTCACCATCGCCAGCCTAAAACAAAATAATAATTTTTTTGAATATTTTATGAACAAATTATTAACATATTTATCATTAAAAACAAATGCATTAGTATGTGTACAAGTTCAACATTGCATATAAGGACATCTCCAATGGAACGTCATACAAACGTATGGAGTTTCTTGATCTCTCCATCCGAGCGGCATTTTTACAGCTATTTGACTACGGATGAACAGTATATTGATGTCGCACTCTTCATCCGTCATTTTTTTTTTAATTTGAAAATGAAGTATTGGAAGGAATATACTAGGAATATTCTTTTTTAAATGAAATTCAATTGGAAACAAATTATTGCATTTAATGTATTACTACATTTTGGTGTGAAAATTGAGTTTTTAAGTTGGAGATGCCGTAAAGAAAATAAAGTAGAGTAACTGCATTATGATATAGTTTTACCTTAACGTGTGCATGATCATTGAGGCTATAAGTAATCCCATCAACCATCGCCTGGTAATAGTGACATTTTGCTTTGACGGGCTCATCTTCATCTCCACTAAGGGTAATAATGACAAAAGTTTAAAAATGTGAGCTTTGCTGCCATCGCAGGTTACAAATAGAAAAAAAATGCGTGGAATAATTCAATACATTAGAAAATAGAATAATGGATCAACATTATATTGTTATGAAGCTTACTTTTTTGAGACCGACGAAGATATAGACCTCCTCATATTAGTCTATAATAAAAATAGAAAATAAAAAGAATTAGAATAGATGCAATACTCCTTTACTTACATATTCTGCACAAATAATCAATTGTTTGTATTTTTCATCTGATCCTATCCTCACCTTCTGAATTTGTTTCGTCTCATAAAATACTTTCATTTATTAACGTAAGCACCATCGCATAAATACAGATTGTCCGCATTTTTAGCAAATAAGCAAAATCATTACAGTTGAATTCATTTAAAAATGTCATTTCCGCATTTCATGGGTAAGATTGCTTACCTTTTTCGTGTATCTTTCTGGCCATCTACTTTGAGCTTTATCAAGAGGAACTGGATCTCCAATGAAGTAGCAGACTGACTCCTCGTCATCATCAACCACCACAGGCTGCTTAGGAAAAGCCCCTTTTATCTTCTTAGTAGAACTCTCCATTGGTTCTAAACACGCCTCTGTATTTTCCTCTTCTTTCAGCACATCATGTTCCGAATCCTTGTGTTTTTCCTTTCCTGGGAGCTCGGTAGAAGTTCTTTTCTTCTTATTAGAAGAGCTCGATACTGGCTCTTCACATGCCCCTAGATCTATCACTTCCTTTATCTCTTTTTGTCCCGTGTCCTCGCGTTCAACTTTTACATTTTGCTTAGCAGAACCCCTTGTTTTCTTCTTAGAGGAGCTCGCCACTGGTTTTTCGCATTCTTCTAGATCTTTTACTTCGTTCATCCCGTCCTGTTCCTGATCATTATGAGGTATATTCAAAGGTTTCTTAGCAGAAGCTTCTTTCTTCTTTTTCGAGGAATTCGACACTGATTTTTCACACACCTCTTGATCTTTCTCTTCTTTCACTCCTTTCCCGGCAAATTTTGATCTGCTTGGAGCGGACCTCTTTATCTTCTTCCGGGATGTCACATGATCTTCACTTGTAGTGCTCTCCGGAACCTCGTCGCAGAAACCATTCTCCTTCTCCGGCGTCGGCGACTGCCTCTTCCTCCGGGAGGTTGGCAATGCAGAGGAGGAGGACGATGATTCGACTGCCTGCTGCTCATCAACGACATTTTTCCGCTGACGAGTGCAGCGATGTGGCGTGGCCCTAGCCATGGAAGGTGAGGATAGCTTGCCGGGAGAATCGGCCAAGCTGGTGAGGCAAAGCAGGGGCTAGGGTTTTGTCGTTTGAGCTGGAGTAGAGTATCTATTTTATGCGACGGGTTCTCGTAGAAAATAAAAATAAAAACAAAAACTTTGAATTTTCGGACGCTGCCGGAGGGCGGGAAAATTTGTTTGGGCCAATTAAATTGATTTCAACTCGCGCCATATGTCCGTCCTTTGGAGAACCACTTGAGATTTTGGAAAAGCGCTTTATTTTACCGTATTTATTAGCCATATTATTTAACATATATGAATTACTTTTTATATTCATAAATTAATTAGACTTCAGTTTTGTTTTAAACAGTTTTATTTAACTCTACGTTTTCATTGGTTTTAATAAATTTTTGTACAAAAAAATATTATAAAATATAATAAAAAAATTATTCCAAACGAAACATTAAGTTTTATTTTTTTATTACTCATTTGACCTTTCACTAATAAATAAATTTATGACTAAAACCAATTGATGTTGTGTGTTGGAAATTCTCAAGTCAATATCGAAATTATATAAGTTGAATTATTTTAGCATAAAATGCAGCTTAATGAGTTCAACAAAATAGGTCATTTTTGGGAGATTATTATATGCGATCTTCGAATCATCCGAAGGCCAATCAGGACGCGCCACGTTACCTGATACACAACTCTATACAGTAATGATACACATCAAATTGGCGATGTGACGCATCATGATTAGTCTCTAGACTGCTTCTAATGACCGCACGTAATAATTTCACCATTTTTTTAGACTTTATGAGAGTATGATGCCACCCTTCTTGCAATCTATTTTGGCCATACATATAACAAATAGCAACCACTCCCAAAGTTAATTAGCATATGAATAATTAGTCTGGTCAATTGTGTAAACTCCCATAATTTGATCGGTTGTTTCCCCTCTTTCATCAATCTAATTAAGGTTTAGTTTGATATGACTTTCTTAAATCTTCTTAAAACATATTTTTAGAATAAAAATTTTGAGTTTTGTACAATGTGTGCTAAAAAATTATTTTAACGAGTAGTAAGAATGTCATCACAAACGAATCCTACATCCCTCAATTCATTTTATATGTAAGCATGTGAAGCCAATTTCAAAAGTTCTCTAAAACCTGTCGAATAAATATTATCTGGTGGAATTTAGAATGCATAATATCCAACACAATTAGACAGTGATCTGAAATAACTCAAGGAAAATGCCTTAAGAGTGCAATTTGAACAACATTAATATCAATAGAATTTAACAAACATATATCCAATCTCTCGAAAATTCTAGCTCCCTCATTCTTATTATTGCACCATGTGAATTTTGGACCCACAAAATCAACTTCATGATAATCATTATTAGACACGAGCATCTTCATTTTTTGCAGACCTTGAGAAAAAACAGTTTCCTCCCATCTCTCTTATAATCTTTAGATAATAAACAATTGAAATCTCCTCCTACCACTGATGAAATATCTTTAGAATAATACAAATCTAGTTTATCCCACAAATTCCTTCTATTATAAATATACTGGCTACCACAAATAATCTAAATCAACCTAATTCTTTTTTTAAAAATATTAAGCTCCCCGATAACAAACTGAGAAGAAGATTCATTCAAGGAAAAACACGCAATATTTGTTATCCAAAAAACCAGTATACCTCTTGACAACCCATCAGAAGGAAACATAAAGAAATCCCAATCCACACCAATGAATTTAGTAAAATTCATTCTATTACTATAAGATAATTTAGTTTCCATTAATCCAACAAAAAACACATAATACTCCTTCACAAATTCTTTTAAGTATTGAAACGCCTTTGGCCCCTCTACAATTCCAAATTGCAATTGAAGACATGGTTAATTTGGAGGGAAAATATTGCCACTCCTTTTATTCAAAAAATTAAGTTTTTTTTTTCTTTTTTTTAAGGGAGGATTTTAACAGACTCGAAAACCCTAAACTCATTACTCAATCTCTATTTAAAAAAATCTTAATTTGCAATAACCATACTATCACAAGAAGGAATTAAAGAATTATTCACAATAATAGGAAAAGCATTAAATATTTGTCCCAATATCGAATTATCTTTCCGAGGCTCCTCAACAACCTCTTCATCATCAATAATTCCATTTAATGCATCAAACTTATTAATAGTAATAGGAATTAAAGATGTAATAGGATTAATATTCATGCCCGATTCCACTTTCAATGAATTATTATAGTGATTATGCAATTTTTTAATGATATTTTCCATAGATCCATTTGTAACAACATCTTCAACTTCAACCGTCAAATTTTAATGTTGATTAATCATAATATCTTTTACCATATTAATTTTGATGAGAGCAATGTTTTCAGAATTGAACTTCACATCAGCATCTTCAATAGGGCATTCACAAATTTGACCAGCAAATACTAAATCAAAATTATGCAATTTGCTGGAATTAACTTCTCCACCAACCAACTTTTTATAACTAATATCATTAGAATAATTTTCTTCAACGCTACCTCTAAAAGGTTTAAATGAAGAATATTTGAATTTATTCTTTCTTTTACCATTTGAACAATTCACCAAACATTCATTATTCTTATGCACAATTCTGCCACAATTGAATCAAAAAGTTGATATTTTTCATATTCAATTTTCTTAAATAATTTCCCTGATGAACCTTTAATCCATGAACCTAATTACCTAAAGGAATTTATTTATCTAACAAAATTTGTACACAAACTTTAGCATATTATCTTCTCCCCCACTATAAAATGTTACCATCAATCATCAAAGGAATACCCACCTTAGATGCAAACCTTGTAACATTGAGTTTATCCCAATAATGCAATGGAAGATGAAGCATTCTTATCCAAATAGGAAAAGATAACCCCTTCAACGATTCATGTGAAAAATTAGGCAACCACTTATCAATTCCAATAATATGGCCATACACAAACTAGGGTCCACTTGTCATAACAAATCCATAGCTTCAGATGACTGAAAATAACAAAGATCCATTCAAGACCTATATTGGTTATATGAAACTGACCAAATTAAGACCACAGCCTTCTTAATTCCGCCCAAATAATATTGAATGATATATTTTTTTCCAAACACTTTGATTACCAACATTTTTTTAAGTCTCTGAGTGCTTGCCAATTACTTTCCACATGAAGTTTAACATAAGTACTAGCATCTATCACCTACGTATCAATAATTAATGATAAATTTTGATACGAGGATGTTTACTCCAAGCTCTTGCAATATCATTCTTTTCATCTAAACCAAACCAGGGAAAGAAACCTTCTAACACACTTTAGTAGTTTTAAAATTGGTTTCACCGGAACCATCCTTCTCCATAGCACCATCGACTAAATTTTTATCATTTTATTTGTCATTTTTACAATCACCATTATAGAATTAACAAAGTCAAGGCCATTTGAATTTAATCCATCAACTTTATTACCATAATCAATATGATTATTAACTTAATTTGAAGGTTTTAAATCCCCAAATATATTCACAAAAATTTTCGACTCCGATGGTATCATTAAGCAAAACATCTTTTCCTTTACCAATCATAGGCAAATTATGTTTAACACAGTAATCTGATATCTTCTTTATAACTAAAGGATCTTCTTTGAAAAATATTTTATGGTTTCCATGAAACGAGGTTGCAAGCAAAACTCCAACACGGCAATCTTCCTTCAATCCTTCAAAAAATCCAGAACCCTCATGAACATTAGCCTTCGATGGAATGGCGACAACAGATGGTCATAAGCCACCTCTGGCTCTATAAATTTATGTAATATTTTAAGTACAATTGTGTCAGTGATGATGCTATTATACTTATATTGTTCACATTTTCTCTATGAGATAAAGCTAAGATGCGATTAAATTCTTTACTCCCAAGCTCTATCAGCACTTAGAATGAGTTGAATCATTAGTTTCTTGCTAAATATTTCTCACCTTCAAAACTATCAAATTTGTAATTGATATCACTTCTTTTACTCCGCTTGAAGGAGAATCAGTTTATGAGAGTTAGGGGAGATTTAAGAAAATGCTCAATCAGGTAATGCCCTCACCATACTTTACTTGATTGGTATGTTATTTAAATATTTTATAATGGATTAGTAGGATCTATTAGCGCAATCTTATATGTTGCAGCTTGAGGATTATTAATATGTAAGCCATTTGAAGAAAAAAAAATTTATAGAGAAAATGGCTACAAATAATTTTTAATGGGTTGCTAATAGGATAAATTATAAGAGTAGTAAGAATTTATTAATCCGATGCTTTATTAATGTTGACTGCACAAGTTGCAACAATTTCTAAGAAGTTAAATACAATAATAGTGAATTAGGAACTAAATTAACTATGCAATTGGAGGATTAAAATTTAATTGAAAATAATAATGTGGAAGGGATTAAAAATATTAATTTTATTGGGAGACAAAATACGTCCTACTCGAATACGTATAATCCAAGTTGGAGGAATCATCCCCGTTCTAATTTGTCAAATAATATTGCTGGTAACAATCAATAGTATTGTAGTCAAAATAATCAAAGAGTAAAGTAGAATAATCTTCAACAACCTTTTCTTAATCCTAGACCTATATATATTCCAGGATTTAATCAAAGTAATCAGTTGGAAAGAATAAAATTACCATTAAAAGATTTAGTGATGTAGTTAAGGGCTCAATTGCAAAATCAAATTTCTTCTATTAAAAATTTTGAAAATCTAATTAAGTAAGCTTATAATTTCAATTAGTAGTAAACTTCTTGGATCATTACTTAGCAAGTAAACCAAAAGAAAAAGGATTCTCGTGAAATTTATTTGTAAAATTACATCATTGTATCCCAACCAAATTGATAAATCTAAGCAAATTTAACTAAAGACTATAAACTTAGAGTTGTATGGGAGGCAACCCAGATTTATGTTTAGTGTGACATATTATTTGTTTGAATTTACATAAGTTATATTGCATATGTTGTTGTTCTTGATAAGTTTGCATTTTATTTTATTTTGATAATTAAAGTTATGATCTAAATTTAGTAAATAAGAAACGAGCATAAATTTACATGAGCACCGCTAGGGGTGCAAGTGAGCCAAGCCGGCTCGAGCTCGACTCGTTTATGGGCTTGCGAGCTAAGCTTATCGAGCTCACGAGTCGAGCTCGAGTTCAAGCTTGTTTTGTAAATGAGCTTGAGTTCGAGCTTGAGCTGGCTCGACTCGTGAGCTCACGAGCTGGTTCAAATAAGTATTAAATATAAATATAAAAAAATAATATTAAATGTCATGTAAATATGCATGTATTTCAAAGTTACCGCGTTACCCAAATTATTTTTTTTAATTTCTCAAATCCCGCGTGTATTTCAAAGATCCTCTCTCTCTCTCTCTCTTCTATCTGATAGACAACGGATTGATTCAATAAATGATGATGTAAACACTTGAATAATAAATGCATTTATTCATTCATTATGGCATAATGATTCTGCTCTCTCTCTCTCTCTCTCTCTCTCTCTCTCTCTCTCTCTCACTTGTTTTAAAAGGCCGCACCATGCTTGAACTCGATGAACCAGAAGCGAACCAAACTGTGCGGAAGGTTTGACAAGTGGCTCAAACTTATTTATAATGGAACGAGTCGAGCTCGAGCTCGAGCTCCATATTTGACAGCTGAGTTTGACTCGAGCTCGACTCGACTCATTTTCACCCCTAAGAACCGTTGCGCTAAGTGTTTTAATGCCACAATGCTACTCTCCTAAGTGCTACTCTTTTGGAAACAAGTGTCACATCACTAAACTTCCGAAACTGCATATTTAGAACCACAGTATGCTTGGTTGATTGTTTGAACGCTGCAGTACCCAGCCATTTAAGTCAAAAAGTATGGTTATGCCAAGTCAAAAGAATATCGTACGATCATAACTTTAATTATGAAACTTTGATAAGTTTCGCAACGTTGATAACTAACATCCCGACGCCATTACATGTCCATTATTGTTTCATTAACAGTGTCGCAACGTTATTGACGCAAGCGTCGCTGCGCTTCATTTCATTCATAGCATAATTTTTTTTTTAATTCAAACTGTCCCAAAAATTAATTGGGTCAACTTGATCTAAGTTTTTGAGACTCTTGATTCATGCTCCATATTCATAAGTCATAAATCAAAATTTCTATAAAAGATTACGTAATATTATTCATCAATCAAAATTCAATTGGATGATATTGACAAGTAACCGATAGAATTTGAAAAAAAAGAGAGTTAAACGTGATGCTAAATTCATTGAAAATTAAAAAAGATAAAAAATTAAGAGCACAAATTACATGTTAAACGTGATGCTTTGCTTCGTCTCTCTCCTCACCAGCACTAACCATCCACTCTTTTGAATATTTTTAAAATTTTAGAATCTGTCATTTATTTTTTCCGTAATGCATTACTATTCCCTTGCCCTTTCTTGCTTTGATTCCTCAACTCACTTGTTCGAATTCGCTCTAAAGCGAAGGCCAATCCGAGGGAGCTTCTCTTCAGTAATTAAAGCTAAAAGGCGGCAACTTTACCTTCCCGTGAGCTTGAGATCACCTCCTGATAGTCGTCTATTTAGTCGGGTATCCGAGTTTCATTACAATCTCTGGAAACCACACGATTACATTTTCTTGCTAATTAACTAGTTTCATTTGCTAGTTCTCTTCCCGCAGAATTTTTATTGACTAGGGTTTACTGGATCGAGGGACTATGTTGGTTTCTGTCGTTTTAATAGCATTAAGGTGATATGATGGATTGGTTATAATCGTCATTCATTACGGGAGTTGTGTTTTTTTCAGAGCAATTTTTCAAGGCAACTGCTAATATTTCTGTCATGGTTCCTATTATGTATGCTCTGTTGATGCTTGTTGTGTTTGTTTTACACGGAGTTATCAATGGTGAAAGGCCTGCTGTTGTGAACATTGGTGCTGTGTTAACTTACGATTCAGCCATAGGTAGAGTTGCAAAGGCTGCAATTGAAGCTGCTGTTCAGGATGTTAATGCAAACGAGAATGTTCTTAATGGAACTCGACTAAATTTGATAATGGAGGATTCAAGTTGTAGCGCTTTTATTGGTGCAGTTGCAGGTATTACTTTAACCATTTTGTTGTTATATATCTATTTCTTTGGACACATAGCTAATGTAATTGATGTGAAACAGAATCGGAATTGCACAGAGAAATAATAAGACAACTGAGTAAGCAAGTCAATATAAAGATTAACGAGTCACAATTAATGATTTAATGAAATATCAGTTACAAAATTGCTTAGGCAATGTTACTAACTAGTTATGGAACAAAATAGGGACCAAACTACAATTCTCTACCGCTTTTCACCCCCAAACTGATGGTCAAACCGAAGCAGTAAACAAGAGTTTAGGAAATCTCTTAAGAACCTTGGTAGGAGAAAATATCCGGGACTGGGACTCTAAGATACCTATAGCTGAATTTGCTTACAACAATTCTGTGAACCGAACTACGGGTCTAAGTCCTGCTGAAGTCGTGTACGGATACCTACCCAAACAACCCATTGATATGATCCCCATGAGTCATAAGGTTAGAACATCTGAGTCTACATCTGCATTCGCATCTCATATTCAAGAATTGCACAAATAAATAAATAAAAGAATTTAACAAAGCAATGTTTACTATAAGATTGATGCTGATCGTTAGAAAATATTTAAAGAATTTGAAGTTGGAGATTCTGTTATGGTACGTATTCGTCCGGAGCGGTTTCCCCAAGGAGCCGTTAAAAAGTTACATACTAGAAGTTCGGGCCCCTTTAAGATAATCTCGAAAGTAAACAGTAATGCTTATGTGTTAGACCTTCCTGAAGGCTTTAATATGAATCATACGTTTAATGTTGAAGATTTAGTAGCATTTGAGGGACCTGAGTTTAACCCTGCTAATCCACTTCATAATAAGCCTTGTGAGAACCCACCTAGTGAGATCCCCAACCTACCTCCACTGCCCAATTTACCCACTTACCCATTGCGGAGAAGGTTGAAGCTATACTTGACAATGAAATCATTTCCACGAGTCGATCAGAAGTTTAAGGCAAGTTAAGATAGATTAGAGAACTTTCAATTGTCGATCTTATTGTAGTAAGCAGTTACAAATCAGAAGTTTAAGGCAAGTTAAGATAGATATGAAATTATCACAGAAAAACAAATATGTTGTAATACAATCCCACAGTTAATATTTAGAAAGTTCACTATGACTTACTATGCTCACTCACACTCAAAGTATGACTTAGTGGAGAAAGGTCTTCAGCACACCCAATGAAGCCACGAGGATGGTCGCAACGCCAATGATCTTAATCCACGGAAAGGTCGACGGTGGTGGAGAGGTAGTCGCTGTTGGGAAGGTAGTCGGAGGTGGAGGTGGCACGGGTGGATGGCCGTTGATGGTCCACTCGTAGTCCGAGAATTGATCGTCGATGATGTCCACGAGGGTGGGGAGGATTCGGTTCAAGTAATCTTCAACGGTGTTGTCAAAACCAAACCCGACGTCGAAGAATGGTGATCGAACGATGTGGATGTCTCCGTAGGCGTCGAGTACGAATTCGCTATCAACTTCGGGATCCGCCATGCATCCTTGCCGGAAATGAAAGAGCACCAATAGGGAGAAAGGAGATATGAGGTGGCGAGGGAGAGCACTTGTGGCTTGAGAGCAAGGAAGAGGGAGAAGGGGGCCGGCGGCTTCCAAGGGAGAGAGGGCTAGGCTTTGGTTAGTAGAGAGAGTTTAAATCCAAAAACTGAAATTAATTTAAGTTTTGGAAGCTTTTGGAGGGAATAAAATTTGCAATTTGAAAATCAAATCAATTGCAATTAAGGCCACTACGGGAAAACACGCGATTACTATCGGATTTTCCGACGGAATTTTTTGTGTTGTAACGAACGACGCAGGTAACGGCGGAATGCTCCTGAATCTTGCGACAGAAAAATTACGACGCATTTGCCGGCGCATAATACGACAGAAATTATCCGGCGTCGCCATGCGACGGTAATGGCGTCGGTAAAACGAGCTCTGAACCGATTTTGTCGCATGTTGCGGCGGAAACATACCGGCGAACATTATCGACGGAACTTCCGCCGGCTTATTTAAACTCAACGACTTATTTCCGTC